TGCACCTGGGGAAATGTTCCTCTTTCTTTTATGCCTCAGTCTTTCTCCTGAACGTTATACATCTCTTGCCCTGGAGGTGGATGGCTCAATTTCCCATCGCCAATGCTTTGTGCCAGCCAGTCTGTGAGGCATTAGGGAGTGTATGCAGTCATGGGGACTGAGCTCTGCTGGTGTGGAGTACCATGATGTTCTGCATTGTGACAAAGCCCAAGGGCACTTGCCCATCCAGGCTGTGTTGGCTTTTTAATATTTTTTCCTTATTTCCCCATTGGGATGGTTTGTTGAGATCCCTGACTCTTTCCCTCACCCTGTCTGGGAGAAGCTATAGCCCAAACAAAAGAAGTCATTAACCTTAATGACTGTGCGCTCATCAAACAATAGGTACGCTAAGGAGGGTCCCTGAGCTGGAAAACCGGTTCATCCAAATTTATCACAGGGAGTGCTGAGTTGCAAATCCCCAAACAGGACAGCAGAGTGGACAGAGCACGGGTTTATAAAGACAAGGAAGTTTGAGGCAAGGGAGAGAATGAAGCAGAGAGGTCCTTTTAGACTCTGGGGCCAGCTGATGAAGAAGGCAGCTAGTTGCAGGAGAGAGACATCCATGATTTGCAGGAGAAGCCATGTGCAGGAGGTGGATCCTGCACTCCTTAGAGGACTCTGACCAAAGCTCAAAGAACACTCCAGAGTGGTGAGGAAGCTAAGGCAGGGAACAGCATGCAGGTGTGTTGTTTTTACCTCACTCTGTATCTCGCTTGTGCTGACTAACGAGATTGTGTTAGAAACCTTTACAAATCCCGTGTGTTGTGGGTCTCAGCTATCACATTCCTGCAGGGGCGAACTGTAACCCACAGCATAGGATTGGAGCTCTGGGCAAGGGTGTTCTTAAGCTACTGGGGTGTCTTGGAGGTGGTTAGCACTGGTCCTGTGGCCTAGGGCAGCTGTACAGCAAGGTGCCATTTCCATGAAGGGGTAACAGACAGGCTGTGCCCAGGAATTGTTCCAGAGAAGCCAAAGAAAGAGCCAGTGCTGGAGCCTACCCAGACCAAGGGACACTTAAAGTGCATGGGCCCAGTGTGTTGGGACCCAAATGCAGCAGCCTGGTGAGTGTCCAGAAGGGGGAGCTTGACTAGGGCTGTGACACTCATCCTCTGCCAATTTGCCAGGCCAGAAAGGGAAGGTTTGTCATGTTCATGAGCTCAGCTGCAATATGTCGGATGGCTCAGATGACATGTAAGCCCTGCTGATAAATGATTCCCCACCACTGCCTCCTGCATGTCCTTGTGAAGGTGGAGGCTTGGGCTAGGAAGTGCTTTTCCAGGCTTGTCCCTTAAACTCAGGAAGGGCTGAGATGGAACAGACCAGAGGAGCAGACTCTGCCCCGGTCTGTTATTGACAAGAATGCATGTCTGCTGGAGCCACATTCCAGTGCCTGTTGCACACACCCTGGGAACATGAGCCCACAAAACAGCCAGATGCAGCTCAGTGCTGAGGAATTCCAGCTCATCACAGGGGCCTCTTGCTCTGCTCAGAGCACAAGTGGATCATGTTTGTTCCCTCGTGCAAAAACTCAGGAGGATAAGGATTTCATCTGCACTACTGTTGCCACAGTAGAGGGCCAAGTCTATTTCCTAGGACAGGGGTCGGCAACCTTTCAGAAGTGGTGTGCCGAATCTTCATTTATTCACTCTAATTTAAGGTTTCGCGTGCCAGTAATACATTTTAACGTTTGTAGAAGGTCTCTTTCTATAAGTCTATAATATATAACTAAACTATTGTTGTATGTAACGTAAATAAAGTTTTTAAAATGTTTAAGAAGCTTCATTTAAAATTAAATTAAAATGCAGAGCCCCCTGGACCGGTGGCCAGGACCCGGGCAGTGTGAGTGCCACTGAAAATCAGCTCGTGTGCCGCCTTTGACACGCATGCCATAGGTTGCCTACCCCTGTCCTAGGAGGACAAGAGATGTCTGAACCCTGGCATTAATGCCCCAGGGTGTGGAATCCATTGTGCGGGGCTGGTCCTAATGCCCCATTGTGGATCCTGCTGCCTTCTGGTGCCCAAATCTGCCCTACCCACCATAACTGCAGTCTGCAGCTTTGCCAAGACACCCTGGGGTACAGAGAGAACATAAATGTCCCGGTTGTTCCTTTACACTAGCACACTGAGAGCGTGTTGTCAGGGATTGTTATTTCTGATGACCAGAGAGTTAATTTCCCACACTTTTATAACTGAAGCCCTGACTCAGCTCAACAGCCACCACTTCCTCACTCATGAGATTTCACCCTCCAGTGTGTTCAGAAGCAAAACAAGACACTCAAAATACATTGGCAGTGACTAGAGTTTGAAACTCTCTAGGGCTTTTGTCTTCATAAGGCAGCTGAGCTGGCAAGATGAGCACAGCTTCAGAGTGGATTGGTAGTATGATGCCAGGGTGAGAGGAGCCCTAGGGCTGGTCTCTTTGCAAGTCTGCATCCAAATAACTCAGCTGGATTTAATTCACTCCTTTGTTGTTTCAGTGCAAGTTTGTGTGTAGACAAGCGCTTGGACAGTCATGTAACATAGATAGATAACCTAGATTAAAAATGATACTGAAAACCCCCTTGCAAGTGCCAGCATACATGGGATTATATGAAAAGCAATGAGAAGTCCATGAGTCTCAGGTTTCAGCCCTGGACTGGGATTGGGCTGGTACGCAGCGGTGCAGCGTATTGACACACCTCTTCCAAGCTGCTTTCTTGTTCTTCTGTTTCTCAAGAAAAAGAGTAAAAAGCAAAAGTCACTTGGAAGCTGTTATGTCTGCAACAAAGTCCTTGAAAATGTGAACTCTGCGCACAGCAGTGCAGTAATATCTGCCTGAGTTGCAGAATACATGGCTCAATAGCTCTGACAGGGCAGGTGGAGCTTATGATTGTGGGCAGAACGTGGCGGTGGCAGAGTACTGCTACTCCCCTTCTCCCCTTGCCTCCCACCCCAGTTTGGCACCTGGTTTTGATACAGTTGAAAGCTCTTGGCAAGCAGGCTGGGAAGCCCAAAGGAAAAACTAGAGCTGCCCAAGAGAAGTGTAAATGTCGGACTTCTTACAAGAAAATACTATTTTCAAATCATATGACATACGGCCCCCAACTCTGCACTATAGACATGATGGGTCTGGCTTCTCATATTTTGCAGCCAGCGGCACTGTCCCATTTTATACACTTGTGTTATGTAAAGACAGTGTGTGTGGAGGGAGGAGGCTCTTGGGGAAGGGGACAGCTGGCTTTTCCAGCTAGCTTGAAGAGCAAGATTCTCAATATTTATTAAGTGCTGACTGTGTGCAGGTCTCTGTAGAAGCCATAAGCCCTGCCCCATGGGATTTACAAAAATAAATAGCCAGAACCAGATGCTCTGGGAGACCCAGTGGATGGTGCCAGCCTGGAGCTTTTTTAAATACTATGGTAGCAACTTGTACTGACATGGCTTTCCTGGGTCATGCAGAGGAAGGAAGGCTGCAGGAGGGAGCTGAATGAAGGGAGGGTGAATACCGTTTTGGGGCATGGAGAAGGTTTCGGCCATAGGACATCAGCTCTACATGTCTCTGCAGACAATGCCCTCTTGACTAACACAGACATCCAGGCACCTCTGGGAAATTTGAATACTCTTATTTTTCTTCTAGTTGAAGCAAACTAGTCGGCTCCTCAGCATAGACACAGCCTCTGTATGTTATGGCTACGTGGGCTGGTGCATGCAGTGCATAAAGGCAGCAGTTCTGCACAGACGCCTCTTAAATGAGCTCCATCAATTCCAACTGTCTCTCAAAAATCAGAGCAATCAGGAATCTGTGCCTCTGGCCCCTGCGACAGCCCAGCAGCCCAAGGTGGGGAGTCCTCCCCCAGCTTTCTCTGAGCTCCCCATACACAACAGGTTTAACTTGGCAGCTGTCCAGAAGGGTCAATTGTTACCATTAAATCCACCGCCACGTGTCAAACGTCTCCAGTTTTAAAAAACATGAAAATCATGGAGTCCAATACCACAGCCCCGGGTCTGTGACATTCCAGTCTGGAGTGTATTACACACAGATTAATATACAGCGACTCTTTATAGTGTGAGTGTTTCAAGGCAGAGACCATGTCTATATCTGTGTGTATACAGCACCCTGCACTATGTAGCCCTGATGGAGGGCTCCAGGTGCCGCCACAGGACAAATATTTATTAATGAGAACTAGTTAAAGAGAAATCCTATTTAAAGGCATAAACCCCAGGAAGCAGCTTTAAGGTGCAGCCTGATTTTCAAGAGCTTGAGCTTTCAGCTTCAATATTGTATTAAAGAGCAGGAGGGATGGAGAGCGTGGGAGAGAAAGAGAGAGCCAGACACACAGGTTAACTAGAGGATGAAATAGAGAGAGGCATAGAGATTAAAGTGCCCTATTGGGTCCCATCTATTCCCTCACTCGAGAGCCAGGGCAGATCATTTTCTACAATCTATTTGCCAAGGTCTAGTCATATTTGAAGGGTCCCAAGTGATGTGGTTTGTATGACCTAAAGCCAATATCGGCTCACACATTGCATGTGCATACCATAGTGATGGGGGAGGCTGGAGGGCTGGAAGAGAACAGACTCCCTCCCACGGACACACCTGTACATGTGCCCGCTCCCATGACATCCCTCCCAGCCACATCTGCACACAATGACCGCACGCACAGTCACAGCAGCACCTGCACAGTCAGGCGCGCACACCTGCGGGGGCGCACATAGCCACACGCACGGACATGCGGCACTGATGCACGACGAAAGGAAACAAATGGCCATCTGGAGGCTGTGGGGCTCCAAAGCCCAGAGGATGCAGCGCAGCTCCGTGCAGTCTCAGAGGAAGGGAAAGTGGGAGGGGGGGTGTGAGTTGGGGAGGGACTTGGGAGGAGCCCTCGGCTCATGAAACAGAGCTGCAAAGCAGGCAGGGCAGCATTCACATGGCCGGAGAGCAGCCCACAGGAGCAGGAGGGGAACCTGTGTGCTGGGATTGAGCAGGGCAGAGGTGGTGTCAGTGTCCCAGGACTAAGACAGCTTGGACTTGCATCTCAGCTATCAGCGTCCCTTGTCTCTGAGCACCCCTCATCCCGTGCCACCTCGGGGGCTCTGGAACACTGGCCTCCCGTCTCCTGACCACTGACCACCACAGCCTCTCCCAGGGCTAAGCTGCTGTGACTGGACCACGGGTGCTGTGTTTGGGACGCTCGGGTCCTGGACTGTGGCCAGCGTGAGGGCTCCCAGGAGTGCCACAGCCAGGGGATCTCTGCATTTCCCCAGCTCTGGAATCTCTCGCAGGGGGCAGTATGTTTGTTTCAGCTGGGACACGGGACTCTTCACTGGGGCAAAACTGAGGAGGCAAAACCAGCGATGCAGCTTCTCAGCAGTTTCCTGAAACTTCTTGTGGCTCTTGCGCTGCAGGCATCACACACTCAGGTGAGGGACCCCCAGCTTCTAGCACCCCCCCCCCCGTGTCCTCCACATAATGGATCTGGGGGAGCAGAGAGGGGCACTGGCAGTGGAAGAGTCCTCGGGGATCCTGCCGTAATGGTCCCAAGCCCCATTATTCCCCTTGCATCACTGTGGGGCTAGAGCAATGCTGAGGAATCGCTCCTGTAGTGTATTTTGCAGGCTAGGTACAGCGGGGGGATCAGTTTGAAGCTGTTCTTCTTGGGTTGCCCCACCACTACCCCCTCTGGTGTCTGAGCTCCAAGTGACCCCTTGTTCCTCGGGTCCTCCCTTAGCAGAAGAACAGGGGGCTGACTGGGGTACTGCTAGGCTGGCTGGTGATGGGAGGGATGATGGGGAGGGGAGAAGATCAGTATCTCAGATGCTCTCTGAGGATAAGGCTGGCTCCAGCTAATTTCCAGGAAAAATAAACTCCCAGGAAACATCTTGTGAAAAGAGAGGAAGTGCCATTATTGTAGGGAAGCTGCAGTGGGGCTGGAGCTTCCAGACAGTCCCACAACTGCTCATTTAGCTGAAAGCATCTAGAGAGGATTCTGAGCTGATTACCTGCCTCCAGGCCCAGGCCCCAGGAGAGCAGCCCCGCAGGTGCAGGACAGGGCAGCTTGGTGAACTCTGATCCCCAGGAACCCTCCTATACCTGGCAAATCCCATGGAAGAGCCCCCTGCTCCCTGGGAGAAAAAGCAGAGAGTTTCCCGTCTGCTGAAAGACACGTGGGAGAATCACCTCCCCAGAGCCCCTACAAGGGCCATACCTCCCATGGGCGCTGTGTCCCAGGGCGTGCGCTGTGACCAGCATGGCAGCAGAGTATTGCTGCACTGAAACAGGGGTGTGACATGACGCAGGGACACCATCTGGTCTCCAGTGAATGAGGTCTTAACAGTGACCCCTCCCTTGTACAGCTTCTCAGGGAAAGTCTGTCCAAGTAGCTGGTTGGGTACCCAGGGCTGGCAGGAAGCCAAGCCCAGCCCAGGAGACTGGGGGGAGATATCCCTCCCCCCTTTTAAGCTTATATTAATTTGCTTTGATTTGGGGTTATAAACATTTGCCATTGAGGAAAAGTCCAACCCTGCTGACACCCCTGAGTTTTGCATCTGCTGAGTGTCTGCCACCTGACTGGGGCTACTCTCCTATCTGCTGCAGCCAGCCCACTTTGGGCTGTGATCCCATCACAGTGGAGCAGCCTTGGCCAGCATTAAGATGGCAGAGCCCCGCCAAGGGAAACCCAGGGCATGGCATGGAGGAATTAGGATTTATACAGCATCCCAGGTGCACATGGCACTTCACAGCTAAGTACACGTGGCCCCTGCATGTGTCCAATAGGGGCAGATGACAACATGCTGTGAGCCGGCATCAGATGGGACTCTGACAGCATCATGATGGTTGGGGTATAAAGACTCATAGCTAGCTAGGGAAGGGAGGAGGGGTGCTGGGGACTCAGTAGGGGGAGCTCTCTCCTTTGGGGTGTTGTGCTCCATTCTGGGTCAGTAGTGACCCCAGTCCCCAGTGTGGCAGGACGGGGGCCGAGGTGATAGGTGTTGTGTGGATGAGATGTAAACTGAAGTGCTGACCATGTGTGGTCATTAGATCCCCTGGCATGTTGGATAAGAGCGGGGATGTCAGCCTGGATGTCTTCTACCTCCTGCAGTTTGAAGTGACACAAAGTCTTCACCTTCACACAACCTCCTCAGCTGTTGTTTAGTGAATTATGCCCCACCTAGCCCCTCTCCTGGCACTCAGGGCAGGGTTGGTCCCTGTTGTGTTGCACTCAGTCTACAGTAGTTGTAAACTTGTTGAACTTCACTGCTACACAGTTGCCACATTACACCCCAGAGGTGGCCGCATGGAGTGGTGAGTGAAATGATCCCTTGTGGATCTAAAGTACTTTGGGACTCTTCAGAATATAAAACCGAAAGGCCAGATGGTACAGGGGACTGGCTGTGCAGGCTAGCATTACAACAGCTATAAACATGCTAGATAATTCTTAGTCCTGCCATGAGTAAAGGGGATTGGACTAGATGACCTCTCGAGGTCCCATCTAGGCCTATGATCCTATGCTATTTATTAGCATTGTTATTTATTAGCTCAGTTGCCTTCCTGCTTCTCCATGTGTACCAGCAAGTGCCCCGAATGCTCCACAACAGATCTGAGCTGGAAGGGCCGAGTGCCCTGTGGATGGGTGGGTGATGCAGGCAGATGGGTGAGAATGGGGGGGTTACACCCCAAGATTTTGCTGCATTGTGCTCACTCCCTGCTGCCTCTTCCTAAAGGGCCTGGGTCTCACCTCTCCGTATTTCTCTCCCTAGCAGTGGGACAGGTTCAGCAGAAACAGCACCTCAGAAGGGCAAGGTGAGTTTGCAGCTGCTTCTCCTGGTTGTGTGTGAGAATATTAGCTCCCCTGTGGGCTCTGGAATTCTCTCTCCCCACCTCCCTGCCCAGGAGCTTGGGGATCCCCTCTGTCCTCCAACCCCAGAGGAGGAGACAGCCCCAGGGGAGGGGACTAGAACCTCCAGAGGGAGGTGATGGGATATAGCCTATGGGGAGTCAGTCTGGGACTATCATCAGCCACTTAGGGGGAGGTGGAGGAGTACAAATGGGAAATGTGTTGGCAAAATAGCTCCCCTACCTTCCCTGAAAGTTGGATCCCCCAAGACCCCTACATTAATGCACCCTCCAGAAGGTGCTTATCCAGCCCTCCTTCGGAGTCACTGAGCTCCAACAGGGCACCCCCTGGGATCAGAGCTGGGCAGAATTCTTCAGGTGAAACTTTTTTTAAAGAAAACCTCAACTCCAGTTTGACCAAAATGTTTTGTCAATTGGTGTTGAAATTTGCTGAATTAGTTCAGATAAAAAAAATAATCAGAAAAAGCCAACAAGTTTTGTTAGGACATTTTCAGGCAAAACATTTTGACTTTTCATTTAGACTTTTACATCCATTTAATTAAAAAAAAAAAAATTAAAAGGTGAAAAAACTCAACCGCACTGATCTGTTCGACCCCAGGAGGGTTTTTGTTTTTACTTTTTTGGAACTGTGGCTGCCTGATAAATTTCAAGTTGAGCTCTGAGGCAGCTTCTCCTCCGACAAGGTTTGGGTGCTATAAACCCTCATGCTTGAGAACAGTGGTCTCCAAAGTTGGGTGTGCGCAACCCAGGGGGTGCGCAAGAGGATCCTTCGGGGTGCATGGCAGGAGGAGCGCTTTTTTTGGTTTTTTTTTTGCTTCGTCAGTTTGGGCAGGAGTCCGAGTGCCTTTTTTTTTTTTTTTTTTTGCTTCAGCAAAAATGGTAGAGCCGGTGCGGCAGGGGGTGCGTGCTCAAAATTTTTTTACTGATGGGGGTGCACGAGCAAAACAGTTTGGAGACCACTGCTTTAGGACACGAGCCAACATGTAACTATTTGGGGTTAGAAGGAAACTTCCCCTGGGGGGGCCGGCTATCCCATAACTGCTACCAACAGACTTTCTTCCTCTGATCTATCTGGCACTGGCCAGTGTGGAGACAGGGTAGTGATCTAGCTGGATTGCTGCTCTGATCCAGTATGAAAGCTCCTATGATGAACACTATTTTTTGGCATGTCCCAAATCAGGACACCATCCCCCTGCCTTGTCCAAATGACATAAAATTTTCCAGAAAAATTCAACCACCACCACAGGCCTCACTCCCTAGTATTAAGGCTGATCAGAGTTGCGTGGTGATTTTTAGATGAGGGCTAGCATTGGGCTTCTAGAAGAAACTGGGCTGTTGTCTTAACTATGGAGTGGTGCCACATTTCTCCAGATCTAATGGAGATTTTTATCAGTGTCTGGAGATGAAAAATAGCCTGACTCCAGTGCAGCACATGACAGATGGGACAGGAAGAGAGCAGCAGATGGGACAGCTCAAAGAGGAGAAAACAAATCTGTTAGCCTGGAGGGAGAGTCATAACACTGGGAGCTGCCTGCAACTTTTGGGGCACACAGCAGGGCTTGCTCTGATGCCTGTGCCAGGTACATGGCACGCCTCCCAGACTCTGCCCTCAGTCAGCCAGTAACTCCACTGTTTAGTGAGGGTTTGAGGGAGCAGGTCAGCAGGCATCTTCTGGACATGAACTTATAGGGCCTCCCCTCCACCTCTGGGTCTCTTCCAGTCCTGCCCTTCCAGGAAGTTTGGGGCCGCAGCTTCTGTCGGCCCTTGGAGATGCTGGTGGATATTGTGTCCGAGTACCCCAGTGAGGTGGAGCACATGTTCAGCCCTTCCTGCATCTCCCTGCAACGCTGCACCGGCTGCTGCGGAGACGAGACACTGCAGTGTGTCCCAGTGGAGACGGCCAATGTCACCATGCAGGTAAGAGCCAGGTGGGCTCAGCTCACAATGCAGGGACTCAGGCTCCACTCCTGGTAGCTAAGATAACAATGTCGGGGCGTAACACAAACGTGGGAAATTAAGGCATGGAGAGGTTAGCTGACTTCCCCAGGGCACAGTGAGTGAATCAGTGTCAGAGCCAGCAGTCATTCCTCGCATTCCACCGAACCCCGAGGCAGGCTCTTCCCCCACATCCATGCTTTGCCCTTAGAGGTGCGTGGTCTGGGACAATGCCCCCCTCGCTGGCTCTTTGCTGTTCTCCCTTTTATGACTTGTCTTTTTTGCTGAAAGGTCTCATCTTGGACCCTACAGTTACAAACACAGGGAGCCCGACACGGCGTGTATCCGTGTGGATGTGTGAGATGAGAGCGGTTTGTTGTCCCTGTGATGTGTGGTGCCCCCTGGTGTGGTGGGGTGAGGTGGACACTGCCCTGAAGGTGCAGCAAAACGAATCTCTGGGTCTCTGGTTCTGTTTTTTTCTCTGCCCCTCTCATCATAACCAGAGGTGTCTTTGGGGATGCTGGGCCACCTACCCATCACCATTTATAGCTAGTGACTGCATTGGCATCCTGAGAGCCCTGTTCCCCTGGCACACCAGAAGTCTGTGGGGCTGGAGAGGACGAGGGCGGTGCTGGGGCAGGCTGGCAGGAGAACAGGAGAAGCAAAACAATGTTTTCAGGATCTGCTGGACCCAGGCTGTGGGGACCACACATTCTTTGGGTGGGAAATCTTGGGGTGCATGGATGGACCATGAAGCCTCTCTCCTTTCCAACAGCCTCAGGAGGCTTCACTCTTACTCCACAGCCCTCCCCCAGTACCACCTAAGGCGCCTGAGATCAGCATGCAGCCCTGCCCTGACAAGGAGCAGAGGGGAGGGGAATGATGAATCAGCTTTGCCATGGAGGTGTAGGGAATGAATGACTTTTGTTCCCTTTCAGCTCCTGAAGATGAAGCCAGCGGGGCAGGTGCCCTATGTGGAACTGTCCTTTACAGAGCACAGGCAGTGCGAGTGCAGGTATGGACCATCCAGTCTCATTCTTCTCCACTATGCAGGGAGTCACCAAGAGCAGGAGAGACCTCAGGGTGTGTCACCTCTTACAGTGAAGGCCTCAAACTCTCCCACAACCCAGGGGTTGCCAGGCCACCATTGACCCCTTGCTAAGTGGCTCTCCAGCACCACCTAGTGGCCTCTCACGGACGAATAGAGGCTGTTCCAGAACCGCATTGTTTTCCAGCTTGCTCAGAAGCTCTGACTGCTGAGGAGTGAGTCAGGCCCAGATTTTCAAAAGTGGCCTCTGGTTTTGGATGCCTCAATGTTAGGGGTTCAAATTGAGATACCTGAGGCCTGATTTTGAGTGGTGTGGAGCAACTACAGCTCCCGTTGCCACCAGCTGAAGTTGTGGGTGCTTAGCACCTCGGCAAATCAAGCACAAGGGATGTCAGTTTGGATTCCCAAAACTTGTGGCCACTCTTTTGGCCATGTCTACCTTCGTGTCTGACCCTCACTCTAGTTCTTCATCTGTGCTGTGTCCTGGCTTCTCCTCTTTATCTCCAGGTGCTACTTTGATTGAGAGAAGCTACACTGCATTAAATATTTTCCGGATGTGCATTTGTCACAAGTCATTTATGTCATTGGCAAAAGGATGTTTTATCATTGCAAGGGGGAGGAGCCCAAGCGTGGGAGTTCTGGCAGGCAGTCTCTCAATTAGGATGTAGTCCCAACCCTGTGGAATCAATGCTATTTCCCTAGCATCCCATCCTCCCCCAGTACCTAGGGGCTTTGCAGATGCCACATATGCAGTGTGATCATTTTACTCTCTCCTTTTCCTTCTCCAGGCCTCGGCGGGATACACTGAAGTCAGGAAGGTAAGTGCTATTAGCAGGGATTCTGGAGTTTGGGACTCTCAGCCCTGGCTCATCTCCCATCCATTCAGACTCTTCTTTTTCCCCTTTCCTTTTGAAGGAGGAGACCCAAGGGCCAAGGCAAGAGGAAACGAGAGAAGCAGCGACCTAAAGGCTGTGATCTGTGAGTGGGCGTTAATCCAGGAGGAGGGGTCAGGGCAGTGTCTCTTTTCAGAGGTTCCTCCCAATAGCGGCTCTTTGGCTGCAGCTTGCTGCACAAGTGGGGCTTAGGGACAACGCACCAGCACCCGGAGTGAAACTGCTGCATCACAACACACAGGGGCTGATACAGACCCGGGCTGTCTCTACCAACTTTTCTGTGGATCTCAAAGTACTTTTCAAACGTTCATTAAACCCTCCTGATCCCTGACCCCAGCACTGCCCCACTGGGAGGTGACAGTGTCATTAACGCCACTTCACAGGTGGGAAAACTGAGGCACAGAGAGGCATGGACTTGCCCAAGATCACCCAGAGAATCATGAGTAGAGCTGGGAATAGAGCCCAGAGCCACTAGCTCCCAGTCCCCCTGTTCTAACCCCTCATCCTGTCTTTGTGCTGTGCTCTCTTTGCAGATGTGCCATTCCACGCAGGTAGTCATCTCAGCAGGAGAGGGCAGCACCACAGTGCCCGTACTTATTACCAAGTCCTCTAACCACCTGTATGTATGCGCCAATTGCATTCTTGACTGAAGCCTGTGGGACTTGTGGCTACTTGCACTTATGAGCTGTGACCCTCCAAGCAGACAAGAAGTGGCGAGGCGAGCGACAGGACAGGAGCATGGGCCCTTTTGCCGGAGAGGATGACCTGGACTCTTGCTTGGCCACCTGCAGGGATACAGCTCCAGGACCAGGGAAACTCAGCTGCGAGAGAGGCAGTCACCCTTTAGGCTGACCTTCCCCACCTTAAGGGCCTTCCCAGGAATCTCTGCACAGTTAACATTAGTGGTTAAAGGACTCAGGGGCCAGATTCAGGGCTGAAAATCTTCATAATGAGGCTCAACAGGTCCAGGGCTTTGCATTCAACACTCAGCCAGAGGACAGCAGGGGACGAGCTCGGCCAAACGTGGGAATGTTTTTGTGGCCGCTGCAGCTGAAGGAGTATTCCAAAGTGCTGAGGGTGCAGCAGGACAGCACAGAACCTCAGGGAGGTGCCAGCACAGAACCTCAGGGAGGTGCCAGTCCAGGGGCTGCTGCACTGGGAACGTTCCCTATTGTTGTCACCCACAGGAGTCTTGTGCTGCCACCTCCACCTTTGCAGAGCAACCCTTCCCTGAGCTGCCAGCTGGCGGAGGGGACCACACAGTCATGAAGGAAGGAAACCTGTCCCTAGTGGGGACTCCAGTGTGGTGTCTGTCCAGCTCCCTGCACAGGAAAGATGTGGAGAAGCTGCAGTGAGCAGGGATGGGGGCTGGCCTGGGACCTATCTGCTTTTGGAGTTCCCTGGGTGGGATGGGATAGAGAATCCCAGGTCAACTGTATCACAGAGGGAATCATGACACCCCAGCACCTGGGCTGCAGCACGGTTCCTGGGGCCCTTCCCCTGGCTGCAGCGCAGCAATTTTCAAGCCAAGTCTTTCTGAATAAAACCTTACCATAGAGAAATCCAGAAGCCAGCTGTGAGAATGCGTTTGTCTCATGTCCCCAACACCTGTTCTTATCTGCTGCCCTCTGAGAAGCATCATTCGCCATGTGCTTCTGGGACTGGAGCTTCCTCACAGCCTGTGCCTCTCCCTCGTTCTCTACAGCACGTCCTGCCAGTGCTCCTGCCAAGTTCCCAGCCTTTCCTTTTCCACCTGCTGGGCCTGGAGTTGCTAGGAGCTCCCTTAAAGGCCTGGAGGGCTCCATTTGGGTTAACCTGAGACCCCTTGTTACTCTGTTCAGTAAGAAACCTCAACAGAGCTGATGGCCCCCAGATGGTACAGCCTAGAAATGTAGCATGGCCACCTCAAAAGCTACAAATGCCCCCATCTCCAGACAGCTCCAGCCTGAAGGAAGGTCAACCTCTGCCTCTCTGACCTGCAGCCTCAAAGGAGGGGGAGCCTGGCAGATAAGGCCATGCAGAAGTTGCCTTCCCAGGGAACTGTGGGATGCATTTCCATAAGTCATAGCACTTAACAACGGAATGCTGTCCCAGTGTAGCTGCAGGGCAATTGAACAACCCATAGGCACACAAGCGTGGATGCAAGTGTAGATGCAAACCATCCTGTTAGCTTTAATTGAGCTATGCAACCCCAGCTAGGAACAGTCGCACTCACTCAGTAGTGCAGAAAGGCCTATGGGAGTTTGGGCAGCACTCGCCACTCCCTGTCCTGAGCTGAAATCCTCAGTCACCTCCCAGGCAACTCACACATTTCACCTTTTCTGAGACTCTAAACCATAGGGGCCCTGAGTGCTGCAGCCAGATGTCTCCCTTGGGCCAGGTTGTGTTCTCCCCCGTTCTCCATCACCTTCCCAGCTCTGAATTTAACTCTAAATCCCTTGCCAAAGGGGTGACATGCCCCACTTTCTCCTCTGATCTTCCCCTGACCTCTTTCTCCACACATGCCACCTCTCTCCTTACCTCCCCGCCCCCTTCCTTTATTGGTGATCAGTCACTGGAGGCCTTCACCCTTGCCCTACAACCCCTCCACACTGGCTGTGCTGGTGCAAAGGGGATATAGGGCAGGTGTAAGCCCCCCACCCCCTTCAGGGCACAGAAGATTGTCTGTGGGAGCCTCAGAGCCAGCTCTGTACCTGCTTCCCCCCTTGGAAACACCCAGCACAGGGGACACTCAAGAGCAGGCTGGGAACAGGAGGGTAGCATCTGGGTTGTTGTGTCTTAGAGTTCTAAACACCGTTACGAACATGGTGAAACCACACTGGCACAGTTGGAGTCCGAATAACCATGTTTAACCCAATTCCTATACACCACAGTTGTCTCAAGACTCCAACTATTCACCATTGTGGCAGGGCCCATATGGGCCTTGGAAACCAGAGCACACCCTGAGGGATGAATTTGGACCCATGTTTTCTCCCCTCCAATATGCCAATACCTCAGAGTTCAAACATAGGAATCGCTGCACAAGAGCAGAGCAGTGATCCACCTACTGCAGTGTCCGGTCTTTCACAGGGGCCAGAACCAGATGTTTCAGAGGAAGGTGCAAAATAATAATAATAGTTAATAATCCAGCTACGGAATAACTTGCCCACAGGAGAAGTTTCTTCCTGCCCCTGTCAGTTCTGATTTACACCCTGTCTGTCACAGTGTGACGATAGGTGTCATCATCCTTTTTTCATCTTACTACTTGTCAGTGGTACAGTAAATTGGCTTGTCAATTCCCTCAGTCCCCTGCCTATCTAGTTCCTCCACTCCCCCTCTCCCCATGGTCTCTGTGCAGGCAGCATGCCCATCAGCCAAGGCTGCTCAGCGGTATGAGAGGGGAATTCCCATCTCTGCTCCCTCAATCCCTAGCTGTCTAGCGACTCTTCTTTACATTTCCTGCTGGAGGGCGGCTTGGGATCGCAGACATTTGGGGCCCCGATTCATGGGTTGCGTGGTGCGTGACACACCCGGGCCATTCCCGGGATGGATGCAGACGGGACAGAGCCTGGACAGTCTGAGCTTCATCCGCCACCTGATTTATTAACAGCCCCACGGTCCCCGGGTGTCTCTTTCCCGTGTTGTAGCGGGGAAGTTTCTGCGCCCTCCTGCCCATCCCAGCCACCCTCCCACGGCCCGGCTGGCTCCGGGCAGCTCTCCCCCTTCGCCACTTCCAGGGCAATGTTTTGACCCTTAGACCCTTAATCCAGGCTCTCCCCGCCGCCCCGCTGCGCGCCTTCGGGCTCTGCCATCAGCTCCCCCTTCCGCGGCGGGCGCTGCCCGGGGAGCCGCAGCCCGCGCGGACGCTGCCTCTTTAAGACGCAGCCGGTGGCCGAGCTGCCTGAGGATTGGTGCTTTATTCTAAAGCCGGGGGATGAGCTCATCTGCAGCCAACCGCAGCGGCTGTGGGGAGCCGGCACCTCGCTCCGCGCCCGGGGAAACCGGCCCGGCCCCAGCAGCGGGGCGAGGGGAGCGGCTCCATGGGGGCGAGGTGGGTCCCGCACCCCCAGGGACCAGGCTCCTGACTCCACCAGGTACTGTTCTTCCTCGTGCATGTGATCCGCCTCAGAGCTACCCCAGCCCCATGGCCGAGCAGCCCCTTCCTCTGCCCTGTGGGATCAGGCTGGGTCTCCTATCCCCCTCCCTCTCGCTCCACTCTCCGAGCAGGAGGGTGGATTTGTAGCCTAGTGGGGCCCGTTGGTGCTGTTTCACTGCTACCATCTCCCCAGCAGGGCCCTCCTAAGGCCACCAGCGCCAGCTCCCCAGCAGCAGCCGCAGCCTGCCCAGAGCAGCTGGGACTCCAGCAATGTGAGCATAGGTGCTGGAACTAGGGGTACTATCGCACCCCCTGCCTTGAAATGGTTTCCATCATAGACAGTGTTTACAGTTTGGTTCAATGGCTCTCAGCACCCCCACTATACAAATTGTTCCAGCGGCGCCCCTGAATGTGAGCTTCCTCATAGCAGTGCCCTGCCAGCACCAAGCCCTGCAAACTGTAGTCCCATGCATTTGTGACTGGTTCTGTTAACCTGAGGCAGCCCCAGGCAGAGGGGGGCAAGTAGGAGCAAATGCTTGTTTTGACCAGTGTTGGTCTGTATCTCCTGGATTATTAGCCTGTTCAACCACAGTGGAATCCACATGAAAGACCCCAGTGCCCTGACTGTTCCATCCATAGAGACCTTTGTTACATCTCCTCTGGAGGGATGATCAACCCTGATCCTAAATGTGGAGGCCCTGGGGCGAGAGCTTTGGCTCATGATTGTACTTTCCTGCAGTTTGCAGCTGCTGATCCATTTCCTGCTTGGTCGCAGTTTGTGTCAGCAGTGATAAGAGACCAGAAATAGCCTTTCACTTTTTCTTTACGGCAGCAGTGGTGCCCTAGCACAGCTCTGCGAATGTTCCTGTTTCCCAACCTGCAGCCACCCTTTCCCTGCTACTCCAATCCTTGACACCCCCAACCCAGCTCTGCTAATGCCCTGCTATTCCAATCCTGGTCCCCATAATAGCTCTGCCAAAGTGCTTCGCTCCTGACCGGCTATTCCAGGCTTGGTTTCCTCCACTAGCCAGTCTGCCAATGTGCAAGGCCTGACTTGCACCCCCCTGCTATTGCTCAGCCCTCTTGCTGCCCTCTCAAACTTTGCCAGCGCCCTCCCTTCTACCGAACCCCAACTCCTCCCCAGTGTTGTGTTGAAGGGCTTTGTTTTGCTTCTCATCTGCTTTCCCCCCCAGCCCTTTTCCAGGATTGCAGGGACTGAGCTGCTGAGGATGCCCTGAGAGTGGCCAAGCCATGAGCAGAGTCTCCCGTGAGCGCCTGGACTCGGAGTCCTGCTCCCGGGCACTCTCCCAGGCCCGAATGTACCTCGAACAGATTCGGAGCCGTGTCTCTCCAGGGGGCCCTGATGTGCATGGAGCTGGGAAGCGGGATTACCTGGTGGATGCAGCAAAGCAGATCCGCCTGGCACTGGAGCGGGATGTGAGCGAGGACTATGAGGAGGCTTTCAATCACTACAAGAATGGCGTGGACGTGCTGCTCAGCGGCGTGCAGGGTATGGTGGGCTAGGGGCAGGAGTGTAAGGTGCAAAAGATGCAGGGTATATGGGGCTTGGTGGTGCTGGGGTGCATTGAACACGGCGGGGGGTTGGCAGCACACGAGGTACGAGTGCTCAGTGGCGGTGTGTGTGGGCTACACAAGGAATTTGGGGTTGGTGGTACAGGGCACTTGGCAGCACACTGAGATTATGTGCACATTTTGGCAGTATATAAGGAGAGGAGAATCTGCATGGCTTTACGATAGAGTTCTCTGGGTCTCTATGGTAGCAGCCAGGGATGGTGGGGCTGACACCGTGACTAGCTGGCATGGGGAGGGAGCAGAGTGGGCAGGATGATGGGAATGGGTCAATCACCAGCTGTCAAGCAAGGAGGCATGAGGAAAAGGATAATGACTGAAGGCAGGGCTGCAGGTTAGTGACTGGCTGATGTGGTTGGGGGGCAGAGCTGTGGGGAAGATGTGGCATGTGGGGAAATGGTGTTGGGACATGGTGCAAGGATGAGGCGTTATGAGGGGCAGAGCGTCTGGGTGAGCCATGTGGCACTGAGATATGTTGGCCAGAGTGTGATGAGGGGCTGGAATGGTGACTAAAGCTGTGTCCCTCCCACCCCATGCAGTCGACCCCAATAAGGAGCGCCGTGAGGCTGTGAAGCGGAAGATCACACAGTACCTGAAACGGGCTGAGGAGATCTTTAACTGCCACCTGCAGCGGACTCTGGGGAACGGGAGTTCCACTGCCACGGTGAGGAGATGGGGCTGGGAAAATGGCTTCATAGGGACCCCCTGATTGCCCTGGCCGGGACCTCGGGGTGCAATACTGACAGCACATGTGGTGCTGGTTGGACTCCCTGAGTGCAGTCCCCTGTGTGGGGCTGACTGGGATGCATGTGGGACAGCTGTGTTGGGGAGAGGGCTAGGACCCATGTGGCTACCAATCTCAAGCCCTAAACATACAA